TGCATTTATAAAACTTGGTTTTCCTTGTAAATGGAAGAACAAAATAACCCTCAAGTTAATGGGAACTTTAACTTAAGAAACTGCTAAAACTTAAAATAAAACTTAAAAGGATTGTTAAGCTTAAGAAAAGACACATTTGTCCTACTTCTGTTACATTTATTTTGTATATTTTGTTCTTTTGTCTTAAAGACCCGATTCTGCAGTGGAAGTAATTTTTTTTAAAGAACTAAAGCTTTAACATCCATTAGAGGGAACAGGTCAAATTGTCAATGTCAAATTAACAGGGCCGAGATGGGATAAAGGCAGTGCAGCTGATCCAGGACCAGAAAGCCGTAGCTCGTCTCCCAGCCATTCCCACATCTCATGGCGTCTCTGAGAAGGACACCCAATCCCCAATTGCTGCCTGTGCACCCACCTAGCCACCCACTGCTCCACCTGAGTGCATCTTAGGTGTGATGGGTTAATAATGCATTTTTTTTTGTTAGCGCCTTTCAAGCCACCCAAGGACACTTCACAACATTAAAAACACAAAATAATACAATACAAAATGGCTATAAAAACACTAAACCAAGAAGAAAATGACAACCAATTAAAGTGAGAAGGCTAACTTGAACAGAGGAGTTGTGATTTGAAAGTCAGGAGGGAGCCATCATTACAGATGTCTGGGGGAAGGGCGTTCCAGAGTTGGAGAGCAGAGAGAGAAAAGTCTAAAAAAGTTAAATCTGGTCCTCTGGACATTCAAAAAAAACAAAGCAAAACAACAAAAAATGTAGAAACATTTCGTCTCTCGTCCGAGAGACTTCTTCAGTCTTCAGAGAGAGAGAAAAGGCTCTGTGTCCCATGGAAATTACAAGAGACACGTTGAGGTGGATGGAAGAGGAAGGAGGAAGGGAGCGTGAATGGGTGATAATGTGCACGAGATCAGACAGGGAGAAGTGAAGTTATAGATGGCCTTGAACATGTACAACAGGGTTTTAAATTGAATTCTGAATGTGACTGGAAGCCAGTGAAATTGCTGTAAAACTGGGGTGATGTGGTGAAGGGGGGGGAGGGGGTTGGTAATGATGCAGGCAGCTGAATTTGAACCATTTGAAGCTCACGGAGCAATTTGTGCAGTAGACCAGAGGAGAGCTGCAGTAATCAATTAAAAAAAAAATAATAAAAAGATCAAACTATGGACCACAATTCATTCATTCATTCATATCCAAATGAGTTTAATAAATGATAGTGGGGGAAACAAAAAACTAAAATAAAACAAACAGGACTAATTTTCAGCAGTGTAGAAATGATTGAAGGAAATGAGTTTAGTGCGTAAAGATGAGGACAGACATGAACATGGTGGATGTGAAGGATCGCTGCTCCTTGCAGACTTGGTGTGTGGCTCTTAAAAGAGCCGTTGTGGGTCTCGGCGGGCGTCTACTTGGACTTGGCGGGCTTCTCGGTCTTCTTGGGCAGCAGGACCGCCTGGATGTTGGGCAGCACTCCGCCCTGAGCGATGGTCACTCCTCCCAGCAGATTGTTGAGCTCCTCGTCGTTGCGGACAGCCAGCTGCAGGTGACGGGGGATGATCCTGGTCTTCTTGTTGTCCCGGGCAGCGTTCCCAGCCAGCTCCAGGATCTCAGCGGTCAGATACTCCAGCACAGCCGCCAGGTAGACGGGGGCTCCGGCACCGACACGCTCCGCGTAGTTCCCTTTGCGCAGCAGCCTGTGAACACGGCCCACTGGGAACTGGAGTCCGGCTCGGGACGAGCGGGTCTTTGCCTTGGCTCTGGCTTTACCGCCAGTCCATGCTCCTTAATCCAGGTATAAAATATCATATCCTCTATACCTGGATTATTGTGCATGGATTTTGTTGTTTTCAACCAGTTTGACAAGACTGTCAACAAGGAAGAGGGCCGGCAATGTAGGAGGGGCGTACCAAAGAGACCATCTTATCACAAGCAGAACTGGTTTGTTCCACTTTGGAGTAAGCTGATGGGGGAAGAATCAGATTTGTTGTGTGTTTCCTTGACTGATGAAGCCTTCCGGATTGAAGGCGAAACAATTCAGCACAAAAAAAGAAACTGTCCAGATGACCTGACTGAAAAATGTTGGATTTTATACCTGGATTATTGAGGTTGGAATTTTTTGTACCTAATTACATTTTTATGTGTCGGTACTTTACTTAAATAGAATTAAACGTGGGTACTGTTGACTTTTGCTCCACTACATTTTACATTAAGTATCTGTACTTTCTACTACACTATATTTCTATAATGCTACATTCATGTTGCAGTTTTTTTTTTTTTATTTGTTCGTTAGTTTAAATGTCACCAATGGTGAGAGGGGAGCTGGTTAATTGAATCACTGTGAAGTGTACAGGTGCTGTTAGACCTGCCTTCAAGTAGACCTGGGCCAATGACATATATTCTAGAATATAGGTCACTGAGCTGGGTGCACCCACAGCACCGCTAACACACCCAAACTGGATTCCACTTCAGAGAGTCAGCCAGAAAAAGATACGTGCCACCCATGGCCTTTTTGAAAGATTCAATACAGCAGAACAGATTCTCCCAAAAGAGCCAAACTGGACTCAAAAACCATTAAAAACCAACTTCTTGTGAATTTGAACAAGACATTCTTACTATAATATTAAATGTGTCAGTTCATGGGATGTTAGGACAGGAGACAAGAGATGTCTCCAAATGGCTCGACACTCGGGTCCAAGTTTTGAAAATGGTGTCAGGAAGTTAAAATATTGTTCACTATTGACCCATTACAACGTTGACTAGACCAGGGGTGCCCAAACATTTTCTCTGAAAGGGCCAAATTTAAAATCTATCAGAGGGCTGCAATAATATAATACATGAAATGTAAATATTTTTTAAAGTAAAGTCAGTTTATTTATTATAGTTATTTATCCTTCCATTCTGTACAAAGAACAGAACAGGCTCGATGGTGGTGGTGGTGGGGGAGGGAGGGGTCTGGGAGTCCTCCCCCAGAGAATGTCTAAGAAAGTAGATGCCATTTTGGTGTATTTTACAAAGTTTTACAAAGGTTTATTACAGTAGATTAACATGAAACAAAACATGTAAACTCTGTTATCAAAGCGTACTTAATGCAACACCGCTGCAGCTCTGCAGGTAAGGGACGTTCACTTCAGGACAATTTGAGGTTGCTGACTGGTCAGTTGCTGACTGGTCAGTTGATGACTGGTCAGTTGATGACTGTTCAGTTGATGACTGGTCAGTCGCTGACTGGTCAGTTGATGACTGGTCAGTTGATGACTGGTCAGTTGATGACTGGTCAGTTGATGACTGGTCAGTTGCTGACGTGCCTACTGGATTGATTGACAGGTGGAGTGACTCATGCTAAATAATTATAGATTTTAGTGGCCCGTTTGCAACTGTTGTCATTTATTCCATATTTATTCACCATTTATTCAATATTTTGGTGAATCTAACGTTTGAGAACTGTTTTCTTACAAAATCCTAATGATGGATTCTTAATTTTTCAGAGATGCTGAGTTAAAATTTAGGGGTGCTCAAGAAGGGTGTGTGATGGGCATACAGTACATGATGCTCAGCTTTGTCAAAGGAAATGTTATTCATTCATTCAACCCTTATTTAGACAGGTAAATCCCATTGAGCCTCGAGGACTCATTTACAAGAGAGACCTGATTTCAACAAAGAAAGATGACAACTATGGACAACAGGGACAACAATAGACAGTTATAAAAAGTCGTACAGATTATTATATTTATTTTTTTAACAAATAGGATGGCAAAAAAAAAAAGAAAAGTAACAAAAAACATCTAGATTCTAAGGTGAATGTAGAAAACTAAAAACAGGAACATGTTTGCATTGGTCCCTGCCAGGAGTCCAACAGATTCTTAAAGCCACTTAGAGAGGTCAAAGTTGAGAGCTTCAAATCTTTAAGAGCTTCATTCAGCAGCAAGAAACTGCTGAGAGACAGAAGTCTGTCAAAATAAAATGTAAATTAT